CGAGAATAGATGCATCCAAGGTTGTAATGCAAGGAAAGTTAATTGCAGTTGCGTATACTCTGTGTACATATTGAAACCAGTTTTCTCTGGGCGGAATTTGTAAACAAGAATAGATGTATCAGTATTCGTTTAGTATCCGAGAAGGTTCAAAGCATTACATTTTGATAATTCACATAATTGTTTCCTATGACCAGAATATTTCATTGATTTTTTGTGTGAAAGTTGGATCCCATGTCAGGCTTCGACATCCTTGATGTCAACACCTTTTTTTTCCTCTAGAGGCAGTACATATGACATTAGTTGTAACATAACATAACTGCCGCATAGTTGTAGTCAAATTCACCAATTTTAAATCTTCTTCGACAGTTCGACTGTGCGATTGCAAAAAATCTTGTCCTGGAATTTAGGAATCAATGCAAAAAATGTGCTGGAAATCTCGCAATCTTTAATTGGATTTTATACATTTTTTTCCAGCTGAACAATTTATTGTTGGGCAGATTCTATTTGATCCACTTTTCAAAGGTTTGTTTAACTTTAAAGCGGATCCACAAATATATTTTGGGAAATTGGTGCTCCCCAATAATTTAATTCTGTAAAAATAGAAAATTTGTTGAGAATACTTTTCGACTTTTATTATTTGTTTATAATTTACGAGCTGGTTAATGTAAAACAGCAAAAGGGTAGATGAAAAAAAGAAATAAAAAGAGCATAAAACTCTGAAGGAAAGGTTGGTTGATGGACGACCGATGGTTAGGAAACGACCAAAGAATAAAAAACAGAAAGCAAGAGCAATGGTAAACAAAATAGAATAAACCGAAATAGAATATGAAAATTAAAAGATTTAACTATAAAATCTAAAATGCAGAGATTGCTAGAATATGCTAGGTTTCCTAGGAGTGAGTACAGATTTAAGTACCACGCCGCGTAGACTCGCGTAACACCGTAAATTTGCGTTCTCCGGCGTCAACTACGCAAATTGCGTCAACTGCGTAAACCCAGCGTGAAATAGTTCTCTAATCAGTTCATACATAACCATCAGATGGTTAGTAGACAGTGAGTCTTGATATTAATGACAATAAGAAACTATGAATTTTCACTATATATTTGCAACTCGATAATAAATACCTTTTTTTCAAACTACTTAAAAAGTTTAAATTATAAATGGGTTTCACAATTGTTTGCAACGATATAAGAATGATAAACTTAGAGTTTTAAGCGAGTAATCTGGTTTCTATATAGACAATTATATGTAGCATCAAATAAAACGACTATTTTGCAACCGTATTAAGAGTTCACCAGAAACAGTTTTTAAGAAATAAAAAATCATCCAACATTTTTGGTAAAATTAGAATATACAATTTTTTCACATTTTTAAGCTCTTGAAGTTTAGGGACTATTTTTAAAAATTCAAATATGTAAATTTTATGATTAGTTTGTGAATCCAAATTGTATAAATATTAACTTTGTCGATCCCGGAATCGTAGTTGGGAGAAATAGCTCAACAAAAAAACTTTAAAAAACGCACACAATATTATAAGATTTTCTGAATTCTAAATATTTTTCTAAAACATCTTCTCAAAAAATATAAATATAAATTAGAAATCTTATCTACGACCTTTCCCTGATGAAAAAATGTAGGTTTCATAGAAGGTATACAAATAATTCCATGTATTAATTACTGAACAATCTCTTAAAATAATTCATGTTTAAATTAACATAATATAAAAACAGAGGAAACTGTTTATTTAACCCATTGTTTCAATGTGATAAAGATATAAAAATATTATGGTCTGCAATTTAATATTTGCACAAAAATAAGTTATTTAGTTATGCTAATTTTATTGCAAAATTATAAAATATTTCAACTTATTTGTAAATTGCAATATTTCTGCAAAAGGACAAAATATTTAAAATATTCAACATTTTTGCTTGAAAAGGTCAAACTTCATACTTCGCTGCTCTCTCCCTAGTCCCTACACATTCACAGCAGTCTAACCAAAGGAATTCAAGTAAAATCTCTTAATTTTTAAAATTCATAATATATATGTTTTCAACCAGAATCTGATATTTAAAGTTAGTTAGGACCAGGGGAATGTGCTTGTCTAAGTTGAGTGGGTTAAATATTTTAGTGAAACTTTAGTTTTCCGGCAAAGCTGAGTTTCCAAGCTTATTTTAAATAAGGATCACTTTAATGAATGTGCAAATATATTGGGATTAGAAAATTTCAAGTTGAGGTAAGCGTTAAGTTCGTTTACTTACAGTTTTTATTCCTTCTTATTTCAGATATTAAAAATACATTTAGGAAAAAACCTGCATTTTTAATCCCGAATTTTATTTGCAAGGGGGGGGTCACATTCTCCCCCCCCATTACACTCCATTATGTGGGGGGACCCTCCCTAAAATTCATATTAACCACATTCATCCCTGTACGAATATGTAAGAATAAGGAAGCATATACTGTCAGGGCTTATGATTACAACTTTATAATGGGACAAAGGGAGTGTAATACAGTGTGTACCATTAAACATGATTATTAGTAAATTTTCTAAAATATGATACTTTAGAAGTATGAAAGGAGAGGAAGTTAAGTAGGTCATTTTTGGTTCCAGGATTCGACACTAATCTTTTGCGGATTAAATAATCCTAGAAATAGAAATAAGGATTTTTTGAAAATTTATTTTTTATGCAAAGGGTAGGGTGCAGGGCGGGGAAAAGTCCAGTATGTGTAAAAAAAAATTTAAAATAGCCCAAAACTTTTATATGACTAAAGCTACAGATGTAATAACTATATTTTTGAAAAGCCCTTCAAAAAATGGATGTAGAAACATGTGTCACACTTTAATATTTGTTATAAACAAAACAAAAACAAAAAATAACATTTTTTGGTAATTTTTTCAACCCTCCCTAGCACCCAAACTACAAAAGTTATCGATCTAATATTTTTCAATGAGCTGGCCTTTAGAAATTGGGCTATGAACATGCATTCAACCTTATTATATAAAGCCTTTTACATAGATTCAGAGCCTGTATAGGGTAAAGTTCTTAAGCCTTCAGTGAGACCAGCTTTTACGTGACCAAAATCGGGAAATCTAATAGAAAATAGTGCAGCTAACATTTGAGAGTTAATTACACGACTAGAACAGACCTTGTTATTAATTCAGATATATTGATTTAAATGTGCCATGTTTACTGGAATACCCTGTATAACTTCGTAAGCTGAATTACTTGTTTATATCGGTTGTAGCTTTGGTTTTATATTATCAAAAGAATGGAAGTAAATAAATTATCTCGAAATTCCGGGAATTCTTTTATCTGTTTGATGAGTAATTTGAAAATATTTAATATTTCGTTGCATAAATAGAGTCAAACTATTCTGAATATTATTTAAAGCTTTTTTCTTCACTTTATCATGTATTCATCCAATCATATATTCATCCTATCATGTATTCATCCAATCATATATTCATCCTATCATGTATTCATCCAATCATATATTCATCCTATTATGTATTCATCCAATCATATATTCATCCAATCATATATTTATCCAATCATATATTCATCCAATCGTGTATTCATCCAATCTTGAATTCATCCAATCATATATTCATCCTATCATGTATTCATCCAATCATATATTCATCCTATCATGTATTCATCCAATCATATATTCATCCTATCATGTATTCATCCAATCATATATTCATCCAATCATATATTTATCCAATCATATATTCATCCAATCGTATCTTCATCCAATCTTGAATTCATCCAATCATATATTCATCCTATCATGTATTCATCCAATCATATATTCATCCTATCATGTATTCATCCAATCATATATTTATCCAATCATGTATTCATCCAATCATGTATACATCCAATCATATATTTATCCAATCATATATTCATCCAATCGTGTATTCATCCAATCTTGAATTCATCCAATCATATATTAATCCAATCATGTATTCATCCAATCATATATTCATCCAATCATATATTTATCCAATCATATATTCATCCAATCGTGTATTCATCCAATCTTGAATTCATCCAATCATATATTAATCCAATCATGTATTCATCCAATCATATATTCATCCAATCATGTACTGATCCTATCATATATTAATCCAACCATACATTCATCCAATCATATATTCAGCCAATCGTGTATTCATCAAATAATGTATTCATCCAATCATATATTAATCCAATCATGTATTCATTCAGATATATATTTATCCTATCATGTATTCATCCAATCATGCATTCATCCAATCAGGTATTCATTCAATCACATATTCATACAATCACTTATTCATCCAATCATATATTCATTCAATCATGTATTCATCCAATTATCTATTCATCCAATCATATATTCATACAGCATGTATTCATCCAATCATATATTCATCCTATCAATTATTCATTTATCAATTTCTTGAAAAATTTGAAAGGAATTGAGTCTTTGCCACAAACTCTGATTTTCTAATCCTTATATTGTCCAAACCAAATGTCGGAGACCTTAGATATTTCAAACTATGAAATATGAAAGGTGTACACCATGAGGTTGCAAAGATATAGAGATTAGAAAATTTGAGGTTGTGGCAAAAACTCAATTCCTTTATGAAATAGCATTTTATTTAATTTTTTAAATACGTAGTCTTTCCCTAACCAACTTTTGTCTATTATTCAAGAATCTGTCCAAATTTCAGAATGTAAATTTACGAATAGAAAAATCTAACTAAAGGAATTGAGTCTTTGCCACATTTTCTTATTTTCTAATCTCTATCTAATATCTTTGGAACCCAATGTCGTAAATCTTTGATATTTCAAACTTATATTATTTGATCTAACAGAATTTATAGTTTGAAATATCTACGACATTGGAATCAAAAGATATAGGATTTAGAAAAGCAGAGTGTGTGGCAAAGACTCAATTCCTTTCAGAATGTGAATTTACGAATAGAAAAATCTAACTAAATTTCAGAATGTGAATTTACGAATAGAAAAATGCCGAGGATTTCACGGATTAATAAACATGAAGAAATCGATCCTAATTCTGAGCGTTCTAGGTGAGTTAAATATTTTTAATGTGTTCGCATTAATGCATTTAATCTTTTAAAAATTAAATTACCCGATTATAATGAAGCAGGGATATTCTGTGAGAAAAACTCAAAAAGAAGTTAAAAAATATAAAAAAGCTTATTTCAAAATCATTATTTATCAAAATAAGGCAGAAACAATCGAGAACTTTGCTTACATCACCTGCCTCAAAAATATCTTAAAGTAATTATAACCTACAAAAACATTATGATCAAAATTTCCCAAAAATAAAATTGCAATAGATTTGATTTAAAAAAATTATTATCAACTTGATTTGGCTCAAATAATTCCGTAAACAATTATTAATTATCTACACATCTAAAATAGTAATCCCTAATTGTTTGTCTGTCTGTCCGATCATAACTTAGGAACCAATCGACCGATTTGTATGAAATTTAGATTTTGGGATGTTCCTTGCGTGATCTAAAATCTTACGGTTGAGTTGATCAATTTAAATTCCAGGCAAAGTTGGGTTCTTTAAAAATTCGATTAACATCTTTATGATTAATAATAAATAATTCTCACATTCTGTTCATCTATATATAAATTTGGCTTGTCTGTTTGTTTGTTTGTTTGTATCCAATAAACGTCAAAACGGCTGCACCGATCGGGCCCAAATTTTTTGTGGCACATCACGTGACCACAGGGAAGGTTTATGAATGATAAAAATTTAGGTTTTTAATTTTAAAAAAAAGTTTTAATTCTTGAAAATCCGCGTTGTTTTTTTTTAAAAATCCGCAAAATTTTTTTCTCCTTTGTTTTAAAATGTAAACAAAAAGAACATGTTCACAATTTAAATAGAAGATGGGCGCGAAGCGCCCTAAAAGCCTAGTAAACTAGATTCCTTTCTAAATGATCAATATTTGAATAATCAAACTAATTAAATCTTGAACATACACTGAATTAACTTCTTAATGATTAATTGATTGAGAAATTATAATGATTCCAGGGAGGTGGTTCATTATCACTTTTTAATCACCGAACCCCATATAATTATACAACCCGTGGGATCTACTTCCTGTCTTTCCAACTATCTATCCCAGTTTTTATTGTTTTATTTCAATGACTCTTAATGCATAATGCGTAGGGTAGTTAATTCAAATTATATATTGTTTGTCTAGACTAAAAATAAAATATTTGAATAGGCTGTACTATTATACATTGGCTGGATTAGCAAAGATGATTTGTTTGTAAACCCTTTCCGAGGAGAGGGGGGGGGNTAGTGATAGAGAACCCCACTTCATAATGGGTTTGTTATTTAATCTTTAACTGTTATTTAAAATTCCTCTTTCTTTTCTTGTTCTTGTTCTTGTTCTTTTTCTTGTTCTTGATGTTGTTCTTGTTCTAATTCTAGTTCTTGTTCTTGTTCTTGTTCTTGTTCTTGTTCTTTTCTTATTCTAGTTCTAATTCTTATTCTTGTTCTTGTTCTTGATCTTGTTGTTGCTCTAGTTCTAGTTCTTGTTTTTGTTCTTAATCTAGTTCTAGTTCTTGTTATTGTTATTGTTCTAGTTCTAGTTCTTGATCTTGTTCTAGTTCTAATTCTTTTCTTGTTCTTGTTCTTGTTCTTGATGTTGTTCTTGTTCTAATTCTAGTTCTTGTTCTTGTTCTTGATCTTATTCTTGTTCTTGTTCTTGTTCTAGTTCTAATTCTTATTCTTATTCTTGTTCTTGTTCTTGATCTTGTTGTTACTCTAGTTCTAGTTCTTGTTTTTGTTCTTGATCTTGTTCTTGTTCTAGTTCTAATTCTTGTTCTTGATCTTGTTTTTGTTCTCGATCTTGTTCTTGCTCTAGTTCTAGCTCTTGTTCTTGTTCTTGTTCTTGTTCTTGATCTTGTTCTTGTTCTTATTCTTGTTCTTGTTCTTGTTCTTGTTCTTTTTCATGTTCTAGTTCTTGTTATTGTTATTGTTCTAGTTCTAGTTCTTGTTTTTGATCTTGTTCTTGTTCTTGTTGTTGTTGTTCTTTTTTTGTCCTTGTTTTTTCTTCCTGTTGTTTATTTTCTTCTTCTTGTTCTCCCTGTTAAACTGGTATTATAAGTTTGGTTCTGGTTAATTGTATCCTGAAGCCGTTAAAAAGACATTATTCAATATTTGCCTGGTAAATGAAGGTAACTGAAGATAAATATGGTTTACAACGCAGGGAACAGTCGTAAACTCAACTTTACTATTTTAGAATATATTATAGATATATTCTAATGTATACCAAATGTACACATTACAAAATTAATGTATTCTCTGTATATTCACATATATTTGTATAAAATGTATTTATATGTATAAAGAATTCAATAACTTATTATGTATGTATTTATTACTTCTTTATAAACAAAGATTAAAGATTTCGAAAACATTAAAACTATTTTTTCAGTTAAAATTTAAGTGAAGTATATGTACAACTTAGATATATTTTTTTTAATATGAAAAGCTTTGGTAGATTAAACTATTTAAAAAATAGTAGTTTTTACTTTACACCCTTCTTCTTATTTTCTTCTACTTTCAATATTCTTCTTTTCTTCTGGATTCATTTTCTAGATCTTCTTCTTCTTCTTCTTCTTGCTTTCTATCCTATCTCTAGGTTTAAATATTTCAGGTTTGTGTGTTAACAGTATTCAGGTTTAAAACTTGAAATATTTCAGGTTTGTGTGTTAACAGTATTCAGGTTTAAAACTTGAAATATTTCAGGTTTGTGTGTTAACAGTATTCAGGTTTAAAACTTGAAATATTTCAGGTTTGTGTGCTAACAGTATTCAGGTTTGCCAGGATACACAGGTAATATATTACACTTTATCACCGGTTCATCAGGTCATCAGCTCATCATCTGCTCATTAGCTCATCAACTCATCTACTCATCAGTTAATCAGCTCATTAGACAACCTTTATATCTCTTAGCTTATTTAATCCTCAAAGTTTTGAATCATTGCATGGCTCAAGATGTTAATCCCTCAGCAGCCATTATCTTGTTAGCTTATGACATAAATAGCTCAGCAGTTCGTTATCTTATTAGCTTATGACATAAAAAGCTCAGCATTTCATCAGCTTCTAAACCCATCTCGTTTTAGAATCAACTAATCTTAACATTGTCTCATCCAATCATCAACTGATAATTTAATTTATTCCCTATTCTAAAAAATCTAAATTTATCTTCATCACTTTTCTACTTGCTATTTAACAAAGGAGCTCAGTTCTTGCCACACACTCAAATTGTCTTATGCATGCATCTTTGAAACCTGCTGATGTAATCTTTGATATTTTAAACTTAGATTATTTGATCTATCTGAATTCATAGTTTTAAAAGATCTACGACATCGGGTTTGGAGGGAGTTTGGGATTCTATCAAGTCCTTTTAAATTTTTACATAATTATATTATTATTATATTTATATCATTTTTTTTTATTATTTATATTATATTATTATTATTATATACTTGTTGTATTGTTATAATATATCTGTGACTAGATGAACCTATGTGAGAATGGAGGAGAATGCTTTATCCAATCCTCTTCATTGAGGAAACCATCTTCAGATCAGGTTCAGTACATAGAGATAATACTTTATACCTTGGAGAACGGAGGGACCCAACCCGAGCAAAACTTAGTAATAGCTAGAGAACTTAAGTTAGAATACGCAGTAAACAAACTCTAGCAATACTTAGTAATACCTTGAGAAGAAAGGTTAGAATTTGGAGTGAACATACCCTATTAGCAACCCTGGCAATACTTAGTAAAACCTTGAGAAGATAGGTTAGAATACGGAGTGAACCAACCCTAGCAATACTTAGTAAACACATTGAAAAGATAGGTTAGAATACGTAGTAAACCAACCCTGGCAATACTTAGTAAAACCTTGAAAAGATAGGTTAGAATATGTAGTAAACCAACCCTGGCAATACTTAGTAAAACCTTGAAAAGATAGGTTAGAATACGGAGTAAACCAATCCTGGCAATATTTAGTAATACCTTGAGAAGATAGGTTAGAATACGGAGTCAACCAACCCTGGCAATATTTAGTTATACCTTGAGAAGAAAGGTTAGAATACAGAGTAAACCAACCCTTGCAATACTTAGTAAAAGCTTGAAAAGATAGGTTAGAATACGTAGTAAACCAACCCTGGCAATACTTAGTAATACCTTGAGAAGTTAGGTTAGAATACGGAGTAAACCAACCCTGGCAATATTTAGTAATACCTTGAGAAGACAGGTTAGAATACGGAGTAAACCAACCCTGGCAATATTTAGTTATACCTTGAGAGAAGATAGGTTGGAGAACGGAGTCAACCAACCCTATCAAGTTTAACCTATGACTGCATAAGGAGAAATATTAAACTCTGAATATTCAGGACGAATATCCGAAGGTTCAAACCTGCTCCTGCCCTGATGGGTTTGGTTTGAATACAATCTAAATATTTTCAAATCAAACGTTATATCCTTGTAGTATAATGCTTTGAAATTATTCAATACAAAACAAAGAATAGTTTAGTAATATCGGAGTAGTTTTATAAAAATATACAATCATTCTGATTAGAAAAATATAACCTTTGAAGTGTTTACTTTTGTATCCACGAACTGATCACCTTACTATAACGAAGGGATTGTAAAACATAAATGGAGTATCAACCATGAATTGACCAAACCCATTTTCCGATATTTACGCCATCCTCCAAAGATTAGAGATTCAAAATGCATGTTATAAATGGAACTTCTTGGTACTAAAAGTATTATCAAATTAAAAGCTAGTTTGTTAACTCCTATGGTAGAAAACTAAGGCCCAATTCATAATTAAATTATGATTAATATTATCTCTTGTTTCCTATTTAGCGACCCATTCATTTAACATTTTAAATCAGGATTGGTTTTGATGAAGATCTTGTTATCAATCCTACTCCTGGATCTGTAGCTATCATAGACTACGTCTCCTCCTCTCCGGATCAGTCCCAACCTGATCTTCTGCCCTATCTTATGTATTGGTGTCAAGGTGGATCAGGGTGCTCTGTTCCTGCAGCAATATGGAGCAAGGTTTGGAGTTCTTCTACCTCCTCCAGCTCTGATGAGGGTGGGAGGGTTCTGGAGCTGAGGTGGCACGAAGAACCAGGATTTCAGAACAGAGAGATTCCTTGTTCTTCCTTCAATACTGGACATAACACTAGAAAATACAGTGAGTTTTTATCTTCAGTATTAAAACCTACAATATCTTACAGGGACTTTCTCCTAAAAAGATGAGTCTCAAATTTTGTTATTCCTATATCTTTGCAACCTAATGGTGTAAACCTTTGTTGTTTCAGACTTAGATTATTTGATGCAACAGAATTCATAGTTTAAAATAGTTCTCTCTGTTTCTATCTACTCCGTTACATTAATAATCCTTTCCATATCCATCTACTCCGTTACATTAATAATCCTTTCCATACCTACTCCGTTACGTAATTATTCATCTCTATGTCTATCTTCATCTAACTCTAACACATGCTATGTTTGCAAAAGAATCGAAGAAAGAAAAGATGACTCTACAAAGAAAAGAATAAAAAGGTTAAAAGAGTAAAAGATATAATCAAACATAAAGGATGTAAAAAATCAGCGCGAATTAAAAAGATGCCTAAAAATGACCGTTTTTCATAGAACCTATATCTCTTTCACACTCCATAAAGTTTTTTTTTACTTTTTTTTAACGTTACAAATAAATCTATAATTTTTATTTCTAAAAGATGTTAGTTCATCATCGAAAAATACTAACAATCCACCACAAAGGAATTGAGTCTTTGCCACAAACTCTGATTTTCTAATCACTATTTTACTTTTGGAACCAAATGTTGCAGACCTTAGATATTTCAAACTATGAATTCTGTTAGATCAAATAATCTGAGTTTGAAATATCAAAGGTTTACAACATCGAGTTCTAAAGATATTGAGATTTAAATATTTGATTTTGTTCCAAAGACTCAATTCCTTTATATTAAATATAGTGTAAACAATAAACTTGTAACTTTCCTTATCCTTACCTTTCCTGTTCCTTTTATTTCTATTTTTAATTTTTTTAGATTTGGGGGGAAATATTCCCACAACCTCTACTTTTAGAGGTTTTTAAATATTTTCTCCTGAAACACTTAATTTTGTATGTTTTTGTTTTAATTCATAGATAAATAATTTTTTACTTTACTTTTTTACTCCATAAAATAAACATTTCTCTCCATATCTATCTACTCCATTACATGAATTCTACTGTCCATGTCTAACTACTCCATTACATAAATTCTCCTCTCCGTGTCTATCTACTCCATTACATGAATTCTCCTCTCCATGTCTATCTACTCCATTAAATAAATTCTCCTCTCCATGTCTATCTACTCCATTACAAAGATATTTGTGTTTAGTTCCTACGGAGAATACTTGTTACCTGAAAACTCTAGTGAACGGCAGCTGGGCTGAGGCGAGGGCGGAGTGTCAGGATTGGGGCGGAGAACTTGCCTTTCCTTTACCCGCCACCAATACCACGCCTCACAGCTGGATGCAGGATAAGGAGGAGGTGTGGCTGGCGGGCTCCACCCATCAAATTGCAAGGTCGGAAACCCGATACAGGCCACTGATGGGGTTCCGGAAAAATATTGCAACGTAAAGGCTTTACGGAACCTTTCCTGAAGTTGCAAAAAACATCGCCCCATTATCTTTAAAAATATCTCTCCATTTCGAAAATTTTGTGGAAAAGACCTTACTATAACTTCTAGCGATTATAAAAAACTAAAACTTTTTTAATATTCTCTTTTGTAATGGGAATTCAACATAATAAACCTGACGTAATTACAGATAATTACTCCTGTGTATGCTTTATAAACCCGGAAAATATTTCAGACCCGTGCTACCGCTCGACAGTTCTCTTTTTGAGAACGGGGTTCACAAAGCATGCTTCTCAGATCTGTGGAGGTGCTTGGACCAGGTTCCGGAGCAGGACGTAGCATGTATCTCCGGAGCTTGCAACAAAAATCTCCGAGGGCTTTGTGCCCTTCCTCCGGCAAGAGACGTGCTTCCAAGTCCTGGATGTGGATCCAGGGTGTACTCTGATATATCCTGGGATAGAACTGAACCTGGACAGGTTTCTAGAAAACCCTGTCCTGGTCTCCAACAAGGAGAAGCGGAGTGGAAATGTACCCGCGTGGGAGTTTGGGATGAGAAAGGTCCAGATCTGAGTCTATGTGGAATACTGGTAGGCGGAGAAGGTCTGCTTGATCAAAACCCGGAGAAAGTTCTTGACAAGGTGCAAGAGAAACGGGAATCCATGAGTTCAGGAGATATTCCAATTCTCCTGGAGTTTCTACATTCTACCTCTGTTAATATAACCAGTAATCCTAACAGGTGGAGTAAAGTTTATTTAGATCTGGAAATGTTGAGCTTGATAACTTTCAATAACATTCTCTTCATAATTTGCTTGTATTGAAAGAAGAAACGAAACTTTCGTCATTTTTAGTCTTTTGCACACAAAGATATATTCTAAGCCCCTGGAATATCTTTAATGATTACGATTTACAAAAAACCTGGATGTATACAACCTAATGGATAATTTGAGCTAAAAAATTTTAAATTGTCTCAAAAAATAATTTAATCTAATTTTTTCGTAATTGAACCATGTCCGAACTTTTGACCACTGAGAGTTTGGTTAATTTCCTCGCAAGTAAAGAATGAGTTAAACTGAATCTCTTCATTTAAAAGTTGACTGCTCATTGCTCTTCAAAACTTTATGGTATTTAATGGTAGAAATAGTTTAGATTCCCTAAATGTGAAGTATCTACTTGACACTTTTATTTAAATTCTAATGGATTTGTAGTGTGAAGGGGGAGGGGGGGTGACCCA